TTGGCCCACCCTCTACTTCCCCTTGTCCACCATTATCTTGATCTATAACTTCTTTTAATTTGTTTTTTCTTGGCATCTTTTGTTAATGCTTTGAAACCACTCCGAGTAATATTTTTCCAAAATCAACAGTATGTATGCAGTCCTTTTTCTTTAGGCCCAAGAATTAAAAAAAAAAGAAAAGAATCAACAGTGTGTAAACTGTAAAAGTTCGAAAGCTAGAAAACACTTACTGGACAGTATCTGGGAGGTGAGTCATGAGTGGAGAGGGAGGAGAGGCTAATACACGAAGAGAGGCTGAGATGTAAATCAAAATACAAAGAACCTAAAAATGGGGAAAACAAGAAGAAGAATTCATAAGATCTGAATCAAAAAACAATCACTCATACACAGAAACTACACAATTATATATCCAACTAGCACCAAATATCCCGTGCGTTGCACGGGGAGCAAAAATTAGGAATATTAAAACAAAACATGGTACAAAACAACTAATTCACAATCACAGCTTTGAAAACTTAAACTAATCTATTGAACATCCACCATAAAAATAAAAAAAAAACACTGCAAAAATTGTAATCGGCTACTAAATAGCTCATGCTCATAACATCAGCTACAAAAATTCATGACTTAATTGCAATATGCAATACTTCTCTGGTCCTTAATATAAGACCAATTTAATTAATTTGATTATATAAAGAAAGTTAGATAAGTTAGTTACTTATAAGAAATATGACATGTTTTGTTCTAAAATACCATAATCATCTTCTTAAATATCCCCTCTTTCTTTTATACTTGATTATGGTTGAAGGAATATCCATAAGGCTAATTTAGAAAAAAATGATAAATATGAGAAATAGGTCTTACATTTAGGACTAAAATCAACTCAACAATTAGATTCTACATTAAGGACCGGAGGAGTATTATATATAATATTATAATAAAAATTATAATTTATATTTACAATTATAAATATAAATAAATAAGTATGAATACAAATAACATATAATTGTATAATTATCAGTCCGACATTATTATCCAGCCACTTCTCATTACTTCATTTAATATTAATAATTAATAAGTTAACTGATTCAGTGATAAAGGAGAAATGATGTTGATGTATTTCTCCTCATCAATCAAAACCATCGGCTACTTGTGTTTTGCTTTATTTTCCTTTTTGTATTCTTCAAGAGAACCCAGTGACAGGACAAAAGCCACCATATCTGAAAGAACATGATACAAATTAGCGATTGCATAGATGGTGTAATTTAATCATTCAAACATGATTTAAAATCATCACACATGATGACAGAGCAAATTTACCAATCAGATACTGCATATGATTCCTTTCAGAACTCTTAATAACCCTCACAATGACTCTCCACCTATTGGTTCCTTCATCAAGATCTTTCAGAAGAGAAACTCTTGACATGATGGGAGTTAGAACAGCAAGTGCAATTGCAATAGACTATAAGAGTTTCCAATGGACAAACAATTAGACTATTTAATACAACCAAGGTAAGTAAATCAGCGGCAGATGGCTATCTATAAATAGAGAAGGATCCTTGCATGGTTGTCCACCTGCAAAGAAATTTTCAACCAAAACGCAATCGCAAAAATTCCCCACTAAAACTCAAAACAAATTCAAATTCACATTCAAATTTAAGTTCAATCTGAATTTCAATCTAAATTCGAGTTTGAGTTTGAGCAAAAAATGTCTTCATTTTCAAGGTTAGAAAATGACGACAGTGTGATTCTCGACAAAGAAATATCTGGTTAGATGAAGAAGGTATTAAAGGTACTGATTCAAACCACATCTACTCATTGGAGGAAGGATACCAAGGCATCAAAACCCAGCATGCATGCAAAAGGAATAAGAGATTATATGATGCTTGCAATAATGCTTAAACACCACGATATAACATTGACATCATAAAAAATAAACATATGGGACTCTCAATGATGAGTCATCTAGCAACATGAATCAACAATAAATCAGTTTATAACGAAAGCAAGAACAGACATGGTAGGTCTAGGTATATTTATAATTTTAGTAATACAGTTAACAAGTTTTGTAACATTATTAACAAGTTTGGTATAGCAATTTACAACTCTAATAACAAGTCATGTAATGATATTAACAACTCTCATAACCATAGTAACTACCTAATAAATAAATAAAATTTCATGTTTAGGTGCTAATTATATTAAAAACATCAACCTTTATATGAAAAAAAAAATATTAATTTGGCATAATCACATCTGTTGATGTGGTAACTAATTTAGCATTCCCGGATATAAAACCTTCAAAAAGTATTTAAGTTTGCAGGGCATATTTGATTTCCTGGGAGGTCCAAAAGTAATGCATATTACAAATTTGGAATCTCATTAACATTCTCCATCTTCCTTTTTTCATCATCTTCATTAATTTCAAACACTTGCTCTGGTTTATTATCACGAAACTTAGCTTGCAATCTTGTCCTGAATTTTCCTTACCTCAGTGGCATTGCACACGAACACAAAGACTAGTTCATCAAGAAACTGCTCTGTATAAATTCCAAACTTCTTCTTTACCACTTTTGCCATTAGAGAGTATGCTTCATACAACCATTTCTCAACTCTCTCTACATCTTTGGCTCGATCTTCAGAAACTTGTACTTGTGATTGCAAGTTCTCTTTTTCTGTTTAAACCTCTTTAAAGTAATTGTTGAAATCGAAAGGATAATAAACTTCAAGCATTGCTTCATCTACTAACCTGTTCAGTACAGCAGTTGCAACAAACACTGAAAGCACATTTAATATAACCAAAAACAATGTTTCAAAGTGCTGTGACATATATAAAAGCAATATATAGTTGAAATGTAATTTGAAATAAAAATAATCAGTTCACATTATGCTACAGGTAATGACAACTTAACAAGTTAAAATCAATGAGGTACATATGATAAGTCATTTAATTTCAAAATATTCCCATAAGAAGAATATGGCAAGTTATATACCCAGATATATATACGGCACACACGTCCTTGCTTTTCCCTTGATTTGAAGACCTTATTTACAACTATTTCTTGTTCTTAATATAAGAGTTTGTTTTACTTTTATTTCGGTTTTAAATATAAGACCGCAACACATTTTGTCTCTTATATTTATCTAATTTTTTCCAATGTAGTTCTTGTAATAATAATAGTTCTAGTTAATATACTTAATTAGCAAGGATATTTTACGAAATATAATATATATTTATTACAAATCACTAACTTAACTAGTTTTCTTAATCTATTCAAATTAGTTAACTGGTTTTATTAAGGACCAGAAGAAGTATTTTACTTCACTTGAAATTCTCTCCCCCACCCCCTCTCACACATACACACACATTTTGTTAATGTTGCACTATGTATTTTACTATACCTACGTAGCAGACAACATGCAAAATAAAATTATGAAAAATTATAAAAATATTAGTACACTTCAAAATAATTCCATGCTGGCATGCCATGGTTGCATGGAGACTATGTGGAAAAAAACAGTTCTAAGCTTGACCTTGATTTGAAAGATTCTGTTAATTCAAGTTCCAATTTGATTGTTCAGCTCTGCCTTCTGATTTAATTGATCTATATGGGCTTCCCAAAGTTTTGGATGATCAGGTTCCTTGTTTATCAAGTTCCACAATTGAGACAGCAACACAATCCCAAATGAGGATCTCATGGAGGAAAGATTAAGGAGCCAGCTTGGTGAGATGGATGACTTTAGACCTCTGGTGTTGAATGTAATGCATTTGCAATAATATTATCTTGAAGCTGATCAATGAAAGGGAGGATGTTAGAGAGGTAATTGAGAAGATAAAAATAAAATATTCAACTTGCATTTGAATATTAGATAGCTAAACCAAAAACTCATATGATAATTAGTTTTTATATTAAAGACCCGAGGAACAAAATATATCTCTTACATGTTATACTTCAAGAGAACTTTCTATACTATTTTTTAATTAATATATGCATATAAAATTTAAGAAAAATATGAAATTTTTTTTAAAATTACTAAATCTCAAATCTCTTAAACGTTATGGCTAAGAGGAACGACTTTCTATGTTTTAATGAGTTTTGACTACAATTGACTTACAAATAACAACTCACCATATTTTTTGAAATGAAAATTTTGCTAAAATTTATTACTTTCAATCTCCCTCTTAGTTCTTATTAAATTATTTTTAATCAACATATCTATAAAATTTGTTGCTCTCGAGTCTCAATATTCTCTTTATATATAGTAATAACTTCATTTTCGAGGTCCATGCAATATGATGACTTGATCACATGGTTTGAGGTGACGCTTATTAAAATACTACCACATCGGCATGAATACAAAATAATTAAGATAAATTACAAGTGAAAAAAATATAAATAAGAAATTAATTTATTTAATTTCACCTAAATTTTCAATTGTTTTTAAAAAATAAAAAACTGCGAAGAAAAAGAAAAGAAAAACTGATTTTTATCAATGCCTCCCATTGTCGTGAACTTTATACTTCCTGGTGTTCCCTATTTTCTTGGGGTGCATTTCTTTTTAATGCATTGGCACGGATTTTTCAGCTGCCCATTGATGCCGATTTTCTCATTTCTTAGTTTTTTTGGGTAACTTAGGAGAAGTGTTAGTTGACGGCCAAAAATAAAGGAAAGGTATTAGTGAAGGTTATTTGGTTTTATTATTGTGTGTTCTTTACTTATATGTGATTTTTCTTTCTTACGTTACTCTGCAATGCAGCTGATTTTGCTACAGTTCCATGGTTGTTTCATTAAGAACTAATGGAAACACATTATTTGTCTGCAATAAATTTCTTGAAGATATCTCAATGCTCAGGTCTTTCTTCACTAAACGTTTCACACTTTCACTTTACCTGATTAGCAAGAAGTCTGAACTAGCTTCTGAATGTTTCGTGCTGAAATGGATAGATTGGATGAAGTTCTTAAATTGCTATCCTTATGCAAGCAGTCTTTGTTCAAATGCAGGTTGATTCAATGTGAGATAAAACCTGCAAGCTTCACCATGAGCCGAGGATCTTCAGTGAAAAAACCTTTTCTGCCTCCTGCTACAGCACCACCTCTTGCAAAGGAGAAAGCAAAGTCCTCGAAACCCATTGCAGGATCTGAATCGCATTTCTGGTAGTAGCAATAGCAGTGATTCTTCCAACGTCTCTGCTGAAGCATCAAGAGGTTGCCTACGATTTTTCCTCTCCCACTCTTCTTTTTCTTCTTCAAAATCCCCTGCCTGCAGACCGAAATACCTCTCCCAAACTCCCAATTCAATCCACAATGTGCCTCCTTTGAGAAAGCCTAAAGCTAAAGAGAACCTTACAAAAGCTAATAGCGGGGAGCACACTAAAAACCTTGCATCAGAGAAGGCTCGGAAAGTTAAGAAGAATCCCCCATGCCTATACCAGTGGCAATCTGGGAAGAAATCCGATTCTAAAACTGGCCAAAAATCCATGTCCTCTTCTGTTCTGAATAACCATTGCAATTTTCTTCCTCGACTGCCATCTGGATTTGGAGAGTCAATGCTGCAGGAAGAGAGACTCGAGAGGATAAATGACAATGACCATAAGTGTTCCCAGCTCAAATCTTGTCATAATGAAGCAACTTTGACTCCTCTGAGTAAAAGGGTGTCTGAGTCAGATTTGGATATTGTTCGTGATGATGGGGATGTTAAAGAGAACTCAAACACAAGCCCTAGTGAAACACCTCCAATTCAAATTTCTGTTTCCCCTGAGATACAATGTGGTTCTTCTTTGGTTTCAGCTACTACACCAGCTTGTTATGGTGCTGGCTATATAGTTTCTGGTGTCACTGACAGAAGAAAATGCAGGCCTCGGGGTATTCTTATTGTGGGAGAGGACAACCCTCACTTCAATTATGGGACTGCTGATAGTTTTGATGATGGTAATGGGAATGAAATAATGAGCACCGCCAACCATGTCAGCACCTCTTTGTTGCCCCTGCCAAGTGAAGCTTCGATGTATTGGGTTTGTTCACCTCATAACAATGAGGATAAAGATGCCACGAAGACATCTGAAAATGGAGCAAGTCAAGTTCAGGTACTAGCTGAGTCCACCACTCTTGGTTCCATTTCTCCGCCATCATCCAGTCATAGAGTTTCTTTGGGCATAATTGATAGCATTGATTTGTCTAGTGCTGATTACTGTATCAGAAGAAAAGCATCTAGCTCAATTTCTCCTAGCGGGCTCCCTGAATTTCAAGGATTTTCAGATTCACTATTATCACCTTCTTATTTACCCATATTCTTTTCTCCCAATTCAACGTCTAGCTGCAAGGCGGGTGGCTCAGGAAAGGGCAAAACTTTTCAACACAATCGTATTGAAGAGAACTCTCCATACTCACTCAATTCATTGAGTAGTGGAAATGTTATTCAAACTCCACAGTCAGACTTCAGTTCAGATATCCATGTTGGCATGCCATGGGTTCATGGAGACTATCTGAAGAAAAACAATTCTAAGCTTGACCTTGATTCCATAGGTGAAGCCATTCCATCAGCAAGCTTCATGTCTGTACCATTGGGGGATTCTATTAATTCAAGTTTCCAATTTGATTGTTCAGCTCTGCCTTCTGATTCAATCGATGTCTGTAAACTTCCGGAATTTTTGGATGATCAGGTTCCTTGGTTATCGAGTTCTACAATTGACACAGCATCACAGTCTCAAATGAGGATATCATGGAGGGAAGGGTTAATGAGCCAACTTTATGAGATGGATGACTTTGATTGTTGCAAATGCTTGTCAGATGAGGAAGACCTTGCTAATGATTGCAACAGCAACGATTTACCCATCCATTATGTTACTAAAGTCAATGACAAAGTAGACTTTGATAAAAAGTTGGATAGTGATGTCAAAATCACTGAAACTGATGATAAACCGCTGAGAATTGAGGGATTGGGCAAAGAAATATTTCCAGGTCTGCTATCTTGTTCGGAGGCTGAGTCTATAAGCACTGATGGAACTGGTCTGGTTGCTTCAAGAGATGATTCAGATTGGATGTTATGCTACAAGAATACATTATTTGAAGATTAAGATTAAACTTTGTCGCCCGTTCATTCCCGTGAGAGCTAGACTAACATGCTAAAAGTTGGTCTTTACGAGTCGACCTCTGCCTGTACTCATAAAAGTTGTGTTTGACTTTCCACTGGTATTTTAGATCTCTAGTGTTGAATGTAATGTACTACCTCCGGTCATTAATATAAAAATTAGTTTGATATTTAATTTGGTTCTAAATATAAAACCCCAATTCAAGTTATTTCTCATATTTATTCATTTTTTTGTAGGATAATTTTTGTAATAGTTGCATACTTGCATATGTTAAATGTTTCATTACATAACAGTTCTAGCTAATATACATGATTCGCAAGTATATTTTAGGAAAGATAACAACTATTACTTTTAGTCCTAATTATAAGATCTTGTTTATAGATTACAAATAAGGTCTTATAATTAAAACTGGAGGTAGTATGTAGTACAAATAACTAACTTAATTAATTTGTTTAATCTATTCAAATTAGTCAACTAGTTCTTATATTAAAGACTAATAGAGGTAGTATTTACAATAAGATTATCTCGAGTCTAATCATTGAAAGGGAGAATGTTAGAGGGGTAGTTGAGAAAATAAGGGGAAGACATTCAACAAAATATTCAACTTGCACTTGAATATGGGAGGGTTAGCTAAACAAAAAATTCATGCGAGACTTTGTCATCAACAGGAAGAATGACAATTTCCAAATTGCATACCAAACATAAGCATTTTAAATGTCTTATAACACGATATGTGATATAATCTTATTTTATATTAAAGATCATAAAATTCCAACGAAATGCTGCAAGTCTGGTTGCCAATTTGGCAACACTCTGTTCCAGTTTCACCCAATATCTGATTACTATGGTATAATGGACAGGATTCTTCCAATTTGGCAAAACTCTGCAAGTCTGTTGGAGGCACAAATTCATGTCACAGATGCCGGGATGGGATGCATGTAAATTCTAATTCTAAAAGAAGAAAACTTGACCCAAAACTAGGGATTATTCAGTCACAAAAAGGGTCGAGGGAGCCCAGTTAAGCAAAAAGCCATTGAGTAAGAGGCGGCGAGGAAAATCTCAAACCAATAAAAAGTTCCCGTCAAGTATACCTCTTCGTTGTTCAGCCAGGAAGGCCAAATGCTTGCATGTGCAAAAGAAAAGGAATGTGGGACCTTAAAAAAGCAAAGAAAAGTAGATCAAAGAAGGTGGCATCTAGGAAGCCCAAGGAAGCAACCTCTCATTCTAAGACAGCAGTAAATTTTGAGCGTAAGAAAAAAACTCATTTCGGTAACAGTTACTGGCTTAATGGTCTTAGGTTGTCCACAAAGCCAAATGATGAACGAGTAATGCTGTTTAAGGAGAAAAAGGCACCTTGCCCCGTCAGAAGGTTTTTCTAGCACCTTTGATCGACCTAAGTGCCATCTTTGTTGCGGAGATGGGTGCACATTGAATTATATTGCGTGTGAAATCTGTGGAGTGAAGTGATAGAACATCCATGAAAAGGTCGTATCATCATAATTACATCTGAATTTTATGATGACAACCATTTACTGGTACTCAATGCCTTATTTATGCTAGGTTTTTTGACAAAAAGAATATTTATTAGCGGTCAACTGTTTGTAATCTTTTCTTGGAATAATTTTCTTGTGAACAATTTTCACATCCTGGCTCTGTTAATGAATTAGAATGGCTAGCCGCTTGTAGTTGATTGGTATAACTAGTTAGACCACTGGTATAAAATAATTATAAAAATGAATATTAAGTACTTTTGAACCATAATTTTGGATGATTTGGTCTTTTCCTTCATTAATAATATGACTGAATTGTTTTGTTAGGATTCTTTAATCAAACGAGGAAGTCACAAAGCCCAAAACATTGCTTGTGAAGGATTGATGTACAACTAGGACAGAATTTGACTTTGATCCAACTGATATTTCTTATTGCGTTTATATCTATATATATGTATACATTAAAAGTCTGTAAAATAATGTATTATGCCATGTGCTCCTCTCACTGAATATATTTTCCTGCTGCTAGTATCAATTCACGTGTGATGCTATACGATCACCTGCTACTCACTAACCCTATCTTAGAAAATACTACTTCTGGTCCTTAAATATAAGAGATCGTTTAGCTTCTATTTTAGTCCTAAATATAAGACCTTAATTCACTTTATTTTTTATATTTATCTATTTTTTTCCTAAGTTAGTCCTTGTCATAATAGTAGTTCTAGCCAAATATACTTGATTAGCAAAGATATTTTAGGAAAGATAACACTTATTTATTACAAATAATTAACTTAACTAGTTTTCTTAATCTATTCAAATTAGTCAACTAGCTCTTATATTAAGGACTGAAGGTAGTATTTACAATAGAAGCAAAGATATTCCCATACTTCCCCTCAAGTTGGATGTTATGAGGTATGTAACCTGGATTTGGGAATAGAGGGAAGGAGGAGAGAAAGAGAGGGAAAACAGAGGAGAAGAGAGAAAAACAGGGAGAAACAGCGAGAGAACTGAAGAACTGAGTCAAACTGCCGTATTCATTCAAATGGTCATAGTCTACAAATGACTTGGATGGTTCTGTTTATAGAAGCGTTAATATCCGCTTCCAATGGCTAACTAAGTCCTGAATATATTTATATTATTGTTATGATTATATAACATTGGATCATAGTTATTGATCATAACCAACTTGCTTATGCATTCGTCAAAATTTTTCGTTGGAGGTCCCTTGATGAGAACATCATCAACTTGTTTCTTTGTTGGCACGTACATTAGGCACATTATTCCGTGATGAAATGTTTGTCGACTCTGTCTTCTCCTCTTTCCTGCATGTGGGGGCTCTATTCTTGCAATGCAATCAAGAACCCATCGGGGAAGCCATTGCTTTAAAAGTTTAACTTGTTAAAATCCCACCCCACAAATGAGTTAGGCAATCAGCTACTTCCGCTGCTAAATCACCTGTAAAACACAGCTGATTAGGATAAATATACAAGGCCCAATGATTTTTAGCTTGATTGGCTTCCAAGCCTTTTTCTCATCTCATCTTCGATTGTGTGACTTGGCTGTTCCATACAGAAGTAAATATATTATGTGACATTGGATCAGACACTCTTTTCTCTTTTAAAGTCAAGTTACATATAATTACCAAACTGGAAAAACTCTATCCAGATCAATTAGTTCTAACGGAGACCTAAAACTAGACCTTGTTATGAATATTGCATGAGTGGATGTCCATAACCCCTAACCCTTAGAATTCTCATAGGATTCCTCACCTTCAAGTGTCATAAACTACATAACCTCCCTAATGAATGTTTTTGGGAGGAGTTTCTTATTGTTAATGCCATTATGATGTTCTTTATTCCTTTGTAACCTTAGTATAGGACTTCAATGCTTGGAGGCCTATAAATAGAGGGCATACATGAGGCATTTGTACCTTGAACCAAAGTGAATGAGAAAAGGCCATTGTCTTCTCTATCTCTTGCTTTCTTTTCTACTCTTCATTCTCCTTATTTCTTGTAGTTTTATAACACGTTATCAGCACGACCTTGCTCTGAAAATTTGAGGTATAAACCCTTCGTAAGATGATGCACTCTTCTCATCGTCTAATTATCTCCTTACTCAATCATCACAATATATATCTATGTATTGACTACATATTAACTTTATATTATCTCCTTTCTTAATTATCATGTTTTATATTATATAATGTTACTCTATTGTTCTTTTCTTTACATTTTAATTTTTTTTTCATTATGTTATATATATATATATATATATTTTATGTTAACATTCTGTTTTATTTTAAGTCATTTTATTTTTGTTGTCACATTGTAAAATATTATGTTTGTTTCAAATAATTGATGTAATTTATGTATCATCTCCATTTGGTATCTATGGTATTTTACATTATTTTATCTGTGTTGTACTAACTCTCATATACATATAATTTACAGTGTCCCATGTTGTTTTATCTATATTGTACTAACCCTTATATACATATATATATATATGTATATAATTTACTGTTGTTTTATCTATATTGCACTAACTCTCATATATATATATATATATATATATTTACACTGTTTATATATATATATTTTTCCTATCATTCTATTTGTTCGTATTTATTTATGTTGTTTATATATGTTGTTTATATAATTTATTTATAATAAGGCCTAATAATTTATATGTTGTTTATTCATTATTTATCAATTTATATTTATTTCGTTTATCTCACTGTAGCATTATTTTTATTTTTATTTTTAGTTTAATTTTTATTATATATTAGTTAGTCTATTGTAATATTTATATATTTATTTATATTACCGCATTTACATTACCCCCTTCCCCCTATATATATTTATATATACATTGTCTCTATATTATTATTGTAACTAATTATTTGTGTTGTTTTTTTTTTCCCTCATATATGTTTATTTGTCATTGTTTATTTATTCATTTATTTTGTTTATAATTTTAAAGAATAATTTATTTATGGGTGACTTTTGAATCCTAATATTTTATTTATTGTGTTTCAGTGTGCATCAATTTTATTATAATTCTAATTTTTGTTATTATCATTTTAGTTTGATCCATGGCCAATCTTACCAAACTCGAGTTTACGGCTCTTGATATCACTGGAAAAAACTATTTGTCTTGGGTCTTAGATGCTGAAATCCACCTAGATGCCAAAGGTCTAGGAAGTACTATTTTACCTGGAAATGAAGCAACTAGCCAAGACAAGGCTAAGGCTATGATTTTCCTACGCCACCATTTGCATGAAGGGTTGAAAGCTGAATACCTGACGGTAAAAGACCCGTTAGAATTGTGGAATAATTTAAAAGAAAGGTATGATCATCAAAAAACGGTAATTTTGCCTAAAGCTCGTTATGAATGGATGCATTTGAGGCTCCAAGATTTTAAATCTGTGACTGAATATAATTCAGCAGTTTTCAAGATAAGTTCTCAATTGAAATTATGTGGTGAGAAAATAACAGATGAGGACTTATTAGAAAAAACATTTTCAACTTTTCATGCTTCAAATGTGCTCCTGCAGCAGCAATATCGTGAAAAGGGTTTTAAGAAATATTCTGAATTGATCTCATGTCTTCTTGTGGCTGAACAAAATAACGAGCTATTAATGAAAAATCATGAGATCCGTCCCACTGGATCAGCTCCATTCCCTGAAGCGAATGTGACTGTACGCAATAATCATCATACACGTGGACGCGGTCGTGGTCGTGGCCGAGACCGTGGTCGTGGTAGGGGACGCACAAATTACCGTCATTATGGTGGGGGAAGCAACAATTATAACCCAAATACCCACCAAAAGAAGAAACTTGGGGATGGGCAGAAAAAAGATAAGAATGGCCCTTCAAGAGTTGTTGAAAATCAATGTTACCGGTGTGGCATGAAAGGACATTGGTCACGTACCTGTCGTACGCCTGAGCATCTAGCAAAACTTTATCAGGCTTCTATAAAAAGAAGTTCAAATAATGTGGAAGCAAATTTGACTTTTCAAAGTGATGATGTGGAGGCAAATTTTGCATACAAAAATGATAATATCAATGAGCTAGATGATGTTAATGGCCTTGATGCTATGGCACATTTGGATGTGGCTGATTTCTTTGAGAATCATGATTAGAAGAATTTGGATAATTTTAGTTTGCTTTATTTATGCTTTTTAATTTAGTTTATGTTTATTTATTTCTCTTTTTTTTAAGAGTATTATTAATCATGATGTACTTCGAATTTATATTAATGAATGTTTTTTTTTTTTTCGGTGAAGAATATGGATGTTTCTCTTCCTTTTGTTGGGCACAAGAATGAAGATATATGCCTGATAGATAGTGCTACAACACACACCATACTCAAAGATAGAAAATATTTTTCTCATCTTACGATAAATAGTGCAAGCGTCAATACTATAGCGGGTAATACAAAACTAATTGAAGGCTCCGGAAGAGCAATTATAATATTACCCAGAGGAACAAAATTTGTTATTAATGATGCTTTATATTCCTCGAAGTCTCAAAGAAATTTATTAAGTTTTAAAGATATTCGCCAAAATGGATATCATATTGAGACTATAAATGAGAAGAACATTGAATATTTGCATGTTACAATGGTAAGAAATGGAGAAAAATATGTCATGGAAGAATTACCGACATTATCTTCTGGTTTGTACTATACAAATATTAGTACAATTGAAACAAATGCTACGGTAAACCAGAAGTTTACTGATAAAGATACGTTTATTGTTTGGCATGATCGGTTAGGCCATCCCGGATCAACTATGATGCGAAGAATTATTGAAAATTCACATGGACACCCATTGAAGAGCCAGAAGATTCTTCAATTTAAAGAATTTTCATGTGCTGCTTGTTCTCAAGGCAAATTAATTATAAGGCCTTCATTGACAAAAATAGGAGTTGAATCTCCTGCATTTCTAGAGCGTATCCAAGGAGATATATGTGGACCTATCCATCCACCATGTGGACCATTCAAATATTTTATGGTTTTAATAGATGCATCTACAAGATGGTCCCATGTGTGTTTGTTATCAACACGTAATTTAGCATTTGCTAGATTACTTGCTCAAATAATTCGATTAAGAGCACAATTTCCAGACCATGCAATTAAGACAATTCGTCTTGATAACGCTAGTGAGTTTTCATCTCAAGTTTTTAATGATTATTGCATGGCAACTGGAATAACAGTAGAAAAATCTGTTGCTTATGTCCACACTCAAAATGGCCTAGCAGAGTCATTTATTAAACGCCTCCAATTGATTGCTAGACCAATGCTTTTGAGAACAAAACTTCCTATTTCAGCTTGGGGACATGCAATTCTGCATGCAGCAGCAATTATACGCATCAGGCCAACAAGTTATCATGAATTCTCCCCGTTACAATTGACTTTTGGTCGAGAGCCAAATATTTCCCATCTTAGAATTTTTGGATGTGCGGTATTTGTCCCTATTGCTCCACCACAACGCACAAAGATGGGACCTCAAAGAAGGTTAGGGATATATGTTGGCTATGAATCTCCTTCTATAATTAAGTATTTAGAACCATTAACAGGAGATTTGTTTACAGCACGTTTTGACGATTGTCATTTTGATGAGACAATTTTTCCAATATTAGGGGGAGATAATAAGCAGCTGGATAAAGAAATCATATGGAAAGCATTATCATTATCTCATCTAGATCCTCGTACACAACAATGTGAACTTGAAGTTCAAAGAATAATTCATTTGCAAAATATTGCAAATCAACTGCCAAATGCATTCACTGATCCTAAGAGAATTACTAAATCTCACATTCCAGCTGAAAATGCTCCAATTAGAATTGATGTCCCAGCAGGACAACTAGAAAGCGCAAGTGAAACCAAACCACGCCTGAAGCGGGGTAGACCAATCGGTTCCAAAGATAAAACTCCTAGAAAGAAAAAAGGAGCAAATAATCATGATGGTCATGATAGTCAAATTAAGGAGGCAAGTCCTATAGGAGAGGACCGAAACATAACTAATCAAAAGACCTCAGAGGAGGCTCAGGTACCTGAAAATAATGAAGAGATCTCAATAAGTTATGTTACTACAGGAAAAAGATGGAACCGAGAGAACACAGTTGTTGACAATATTTTTTCATATAATGTTGCTGTTGAAATAATTAATCAACATGAGGATCTTGAACCTACATCAGTTGAAGAATGTAGACATAGAGATGATTGGCCAAAATGGAAAGATGCAATTCAAGCAGAGTTAAATTCACTTTCAAAGCGTGAAGTTTTTGGACCTGTAGTCCATATACCAAATGGTGTGAAACCAGTTGGATACAGATGGGTCTTCGTGCGCAAACGAAATGAGAAAAATGAGATTGTTAGATATAAAGCACGGCTTGTAGCACAAGGATTTTCACAAAGACCTGGTATTGATTATGAAGAGACATATTCTCCTGTGGTGGATGCAATCACTTTAAGATATATAATTAGTTTGGCAGTCCATAGAAAACTTGAAATGCGTTTAATGGATGTTGTTACGGCATATTTATATGGTTCTTTAGATACTGAGATTTATATGAAAATCCCTGAAGGATTTAAATTGCCAGAGGCATGTAAGAATTCTCGAGAAAATTATGCAATTCGTTTGCATAAATCCTTATATGGATTAAAACAATCTGGAAGAATGTGGTATAACCGACTTAGTGAATATTTGTTGAGAGAAGGTTATAAAAATGATCCAATTTGCCCATGTGTTTTTATAAAAAGAAATGGATCAGAGTTTGTTATAATTGCTGTCTATGTGGATGATTTAAATATAATTGGAACTCCTGAAGAGCTTCAAAAAGCAGTTGATTGTTTAAAGAAAGAATTTGAAATGAAAGATCTTGGAAGAACAAAGTTTTGCCTTGGCTTGCAAATTGAGCACTTGGCAAATGGAATTTTCCTCCATCAATCAACTTATATTGAAAAAGTATTAAAGCGATTTTACATGGATAAGGCACATCCGTTATCTACTCCTATGGTTGTAAGATCACTGGATAAGGATAAAGATCCTTTTCGTCCTCAAGAAGATGAGGAAGAACTTCTTGGTCCTGAAGTACCATATCTCAGTGCCATAGGTGCATTAATGTATCTTGCTAATTCAACACGACCTGATATTGCATTTGCTGTTAGTTTATTGGCAAGATTTAGTTCTTTCCCAACAAGAAGGCATTGGAATGGAATTAAGCATATATTTCGATATCTTCGAGGGACAATTGATATGGGATTATTTTACTCTAATGAATCAGAATCACAATTAATTGGCTATGCAGATGCAGGATTTCTATCAGATCCACATAAAGGCAAGTCTCAAACAGGATATTTATTTATTTGTGGAGGTACAGCGATCTCATGGCGTTCAACAAAACAAACTTTATCAGCTACCTCATCAAATCATGCGGAAATAATTGCAATTCATGAGGCAAGTCGAGAATGCGTTTGGCTGAGGTCAGTGACTCAACATATTCAAAAAATGTGTGGTTTTTCCCTTGAACAGAAGATTCCAACAGTATTATATGAAGACAATACAGCATGCATAGCTCAATTAAATGGAGGATATATCAAAGGAGACAGAACAAAACATATTTCTCCAAAGTTCTTTTTCACTCATGATCTTTTGAAAAGTGGTGATATAGATGTTCAACAAATTCGCTCATGTGACAACCTTGCTGATTTGTTTACCAAGACACTGCCGACTAGAACATTAGAGAAGTTAGTGTATGGTATTGGAATGCGCAGGCTTAAAGACTTAAAATGATGTTATCATTAGGGGGAGTAAATATTGTGTACTCTTTTTCCTTCACTGGGTTTTTGTCCCAATGGGTTTTTCCTAGTAAGGTTTTAATGAGGCACAATACTCATTATGGACATCCAAGGGGAGTGTTATGAATATTGCATGAGTGGATGTCCATAACCCCTAACCCTTAGAATTCTCATAGGATTCCTCACCTTCAAGTGTCATAAACTACATAACCTCCCTAATGAATGTTTTTGGGAGGAGTTTCTTATTGTTAATGCATTATGATGTTCTTTATTCCTTTGTAACCTTAGTATAGGACTTCAATGCTTGGAGGCCTATAAATAGAGGGCATACATGAGGCATTTGTACCTTGAACCAAAGTGAATGAGAAAAGGCCATTGTCTTCTCTATCTCTTGCTTTCTTTTCTACTCTTCATTCTCCTTATTTCTTGTAGTTTTACAACAGACCTTTTTTTTTTTTTTTTTAAATATCGTCATATAAGCACTCAACGTTTGTCATGTGAATGTGAATGTGTTTGTGTGTGTTTCTCTATTGATTGTACATGATCTAATAGATGTCCTGTGGCGGTCCGCAAAGCTATCCACTCGATGATCATATATAGCAAGTTTGTATTAAATTCTTATATCTGACTTTATTGCAGGTTTGATGATTTTTATGGAAGGGATATACAATAGGACAGCAGACGCCATTTGCTTGCAGATCCTTTTTCTTCTTGCAGGAGAATGTTGCTCCTTCATCAGTTTTATTCATATTTAAAAACAAAAAAAGAAAAGGAAACAGAGAAAACTAACCAGTTTGATAGTTGATGTCACAACAAGAGAAACGATTGATCCATCAGAATATTGTGGTGCAGCATGCTATCATTTAGAGGGAAAGAAGAATAATGGCAAGGACAAATATGTTAGAGAGGCCGAAGAAAATTGCATTTGAGGAGGATAGCTTAGAGAGTTCATACATTAATTGCATTATTAATGATTGTTAATCTAATCCATGTGTATTAATTGTAGTTACATTCTTTCTCATGTAAGTCATATTGGAATGATTCCCTGGCTGTCCTTTATATTTAAACCTTTTGAAGAAATCAAATATATGATCATAGCATAGCTTACTTAGCAAAGAGGAATTATAGCTCTGCATGAATGTTTTTGCAATGATAAAGTATGAATACTAATTCAAAGAACAAAACAATGAAGAATATAATTTGAAGTTCTGTCCAATAATGCATTTTGATATTTCATAGAAACAAAAACCCCACCATAATGTAAGAGATTTGAGTCTTTCTAGGCTTTGTAAAAAGGAATGTTACCTAATAGCCATTTATTTAGGAACAGGCATCATAGAATATTGTTGACCACTGTCCACAGGAAGTACCCTTGACCATTGCAGAATTGATTGTTTATCAGAACTGTTTTCATTTTCAAAAACCAACACTATAAGCTTCATCGTACTTTCAAAAATATCATTGGTTACATATATAGGGGTCTCAAACTTCGTTGAGATGAACAGAAATTCAAGTTAGGGACACTCCAGCTTACGTGAAAGTCTGTCCATTTTATTGATCAATAAATATCTTTCATGTCCAGTAACCAATTTAATCTGTTTTTCAAACTTAATCTCTTCCAGCAAAACAGTATGCTTTTAATATAACCATTTCTCAACATCATTGACAACCTTTTGAATTATTTTAATTCAAGTTTATAAATTTATTTAACGTATATATAACTTATTTAGTTAATTCATATCCAATGTGAGATTTATTCGTACTCTTAGCTCACACCACCCACCTCCATCAATTTTTCCATAAGTGATTGAACAACCGGATTATTTGGATCCGATTCTCATAGAAACAATTTTGAGAAACATACAAACATTTCTATGAGCAAAGGATAGCTTGGGAAAATTTAGTACAAGTGGATAGCTCAAATAAGCTATCAACAGTATTACAGCGCCCATATCCCACAACAAATAAATAGTCCAGTGATTGTATTAAAAACCTCTCAAACTTTATTTGGTCTTTCAAAATAAGCAAAGGAAGCATTATTAGAGATTTCTATTAGCAATGTTTTGCTCAAACTGGCTTCCTAGGATTGACCATTTATGATCAACCTGAAACAGTTGTTGCCGGGACTTTCTTTCATCTTCTGCCATCTCGGACTTCTCTTTCCTCACAATCTCGAACTCTTTCTTGAACTCTACTGTTTCTACAATATGTTTCCTCTTTTGCTCTTGCAGAGAAAATAATTCAGCCTCACAATCCTTTTTCACTTTCTCCAACCTAGAGATTTGCTCCTTCAGCCTAGCTTCGTTCTCTTCAGCTTCATCCATAAACTTCCGGGTCTCGGACATTTGGGAAACAAGAGCAGTGGCAACCTCCTTTCGTTGAGTTAGCTCCTCCTTGATCCTCTTATCTCTTTCTTCAAGCTCTGCAAATTTATTAACAGTAGCAAATGCTAGCTTGAAAGATGACAGAATGTTAGGCAACTCTTTGTGCATAGACTTTATTATAGCCATAACTTCATGGGATAGAGCTTCATCTTCCAAGGAAAGGCGAGACAAGAAGTTGAGAGCTGTTTGAAGGCGAAGAATATAGTCCTCTGATGTTGCTATGTCCTTAAGAGGCATCTTCAAGTAGTCTTCCAAGTCACTAAGGGCCTTTGCAACAAGCTCATCTTTAGCAGCAGCAGCAGCAGCAGCAGGAACAGATGATGATGTTGGTGTTTTACCACTATAATCATCCTCCATGGATTGAAGCATGTTGATGAGATCATCATCTTCCAAGTCTTTAAGATTTGTCACAGGAATCACCTTCCCATCCTCTTCAACATCTGATTTCCTTGTGTTGAACTTGATTTGACCATGAATCTAAGAATAAAATTGGATTTGAAAAACAGCACACGAGTCCTAAGCTACGACAATATTTTCCATTATGCTAGGATAAAAGCTATATATACAAGTATCTTAACTTCTTTTCAATAAAAGCTATGCATATCTCTTGCTTGATTCTCATACTATTGCTAGCAATTGTGTAGCAACAAAATCATAAATCATGACTATACATAACACTCAGAAAATTTGATAATTCCCACAAAAGGTATCATTATATTTGCACCTTGAAAAGCAGATAGCTTACATGTGGAAGCGTGTTTGCCGAAGAAGTAACTAAGATGTCAGGCAGCGAGCCTGCTAATTTTGAATGAGTTGAAGGGGTAGTTATCTCAGCATTCGAGATGATGGAGAACCTTCAATGCTTCCTTTAACATCCTGTAGGAAATAAATTAAAACCTGTTATATATCATCTCACATATGAGTCTAAGCTTCAACAACATTTTCCATTCTACTAAGATATAAGCTTTATATAGAAGTCTTTTTAACTCATTATCAAACCATGTTTCATTTAAAAAGCTATATACATATATTCCACTCGATTCCCATATCATTGCTGGCAATTTTATAGCCACATGATCATGAACCATGACTATATATAATACTCAATAGTTTTATAAGTGCCAACAAAAGATATCACGTTTGGGCCAAGAAAAGTATTAGAAAGCTTACAAGTGGAATTGTGTTTGTTGAAGAAATGGCTAGGGTTCCTGGGAGCAAGCTTGCTAATTTTGAATTAGTTGATGAGGTAGTTATTTTAGCATTCTCAGATGATAGGGAAACTTCAAAGCTTCGTTTAACAACCTGTACAGAGATAAATTATGATCTGTGAGTTTTACAGTATTTGAATGAGTTTGTAGAGAGTTGAATTTTATCCCCTACATTTTCCCTTGATACGGTTTCCTCTTGAGCACTCTGAACTTCTAGATCTCTAATAATCTGCATCGCCCAAAAGGAAGAAAAAAGGGAGAATAAGTTGCTCCATATATATGAATGATGTTTGCATTACTTTGATTTCATGAGGAATTTCATTTTTTGTAATTTCAATTTTTTCAAGTGATTGTTGTTGGTCCTTCAAATCCAATTGACTGGTTGATATCGTATTGACCAACTCGTTATATATAAAAATCAATGAACATATAGTCAAAATAAAATAGGTTAGTCTACTTATTTGCAAATACTCTTGTAGTCTGAGAGGCTTTTATGACACTTACAGTTTTATCATGAGGTGTTTTAGGTAGAGATATATCTATAGGATTACTTGTCAACGGCTTGCTAACTGATTGAGGAGGTAAAGATGAAGTTGGCATTACTGCAGGTATCTCTGAACCGGGCATTATTTGATTGATACTCTGGGAAAGCATATCCAAAAATACGTAGTTAACTAATGTCACAAGCAGAAAAAAGACAATACTAGTGCAAGATGTAATATAGTAAGATAGTGAAGTTGACCTTGGTTGAGCTTTCAGGTTCTGAATGAGCTAATGAAGTAGATATCTGAACATTTTCTGATATAGTACACTCTTCAGCTCCTTCAACATTCTACACCACATTAGAAGATAGTCAATATTGACTGAACCACTTGCTTAACATGTCTCGTTTTTGCGCACTTCCATCTTCTGACTGTTTCTTGTTTTGTATGAGTGAATAAATGCATTCTATATCATATATTATACATTATTGATGTCTATCAAGCATGAGCAGGACCAAATCCAATAGATATAATGGATTTGCTGGGCATTCAAATAAGAGATGGAAGACATATGCGTACCTGTTTCAAGTTTGATGAAGTAATGGATGTCAATCCTTGGTCATTCCTCTGGTCTCCAATTTCTTGACAACCAATTTGTTGGGTGATTTCTCTATCAGAATCATTCGTGGATTCGATAATATCACTTAAACCCCAACATAATTCATCATACTCCCAACAAAATCCTATCATATCATCAATCCCAAAGAAATTATTTAAAATAACAATTGCATGTAAATAAATTATATCTATTTGAAAAGAAAAATTATTTGAAGCATATAAAATATTAATTTTGATTATTATATTTAAATATACAAAATACTTAATTTTAAGCACTTGAAGAATGTGGCATGCAGAAAGTATTATTGAACTGTATCCATATATTAAGTTTAGAAACATATTGAGGAGTAAGAATTCATCATGGATGGTTATATGTCTTGCCGACAAAAAGTTGCAAGTAATATAAATGTGTATATGTGTATATATATTGTAGTACCTTCCAATAGTTTGTCATGCATTTCCTGAGGAGTAACAGAGGAAGTAAGAGATAGTTTGGGACATCGTTGCACAATAATGTGCCTCGCGGTTTGGAAAGCGGTGGATGGATTGACCGAAGTGAGTGAGGGAAGGTTCCAAAGGACAACATATTCTAATTCCAACACAGGAGTGGCAGCCTCGTATGTGTGTGTTGTGTCATGCTGTTCATCTCCAAATACTTGCTCAAGCGCAGATGTATCTTCTATGTACAATACCTTTATATTTGGAATCAGTCGACATGCAAAGATCTTAGGGAATACGCATTTCAACTTATGGCAACGTTTGATGTAGATTGAAACAAGTCGTGGGAAGAGAGGTTTCGGAGAAGTCGACACATTTTGATCATCTTCTTCAATGATTTCCTCCAACTCATTACAGTCTGTAATGTTAAGTTGCCTCAATTGTGCGAGTTCTTTCAAGATGCATGAAGGGAATACTTCTTTCAAATTTCCACAATTGGATAGTTTTAACCACCGAAGATGTTGGAGGGGTAAATAATTTTTGGGACCCCTCCATATATGCCTCAATTTGGGTAGATGACACAAATCAAGGTCATCTAACCTCGAGTTTACTTGTTGTCTATTGATAGGAAGCTTTTCGACATCAAAAACAACTTCTACTTCATCATCATGTTGAATCAATAGTTTCTCTAAAGTTTCTGGTGGAACCACGACCACTTTCAATAGGTCCTGTAGAAGTAGTGAAAAAGAAATCACATTAAGCAATTAAAATTTGAAAATTATTGTGTCACCTAGTGTAGACAATTAACAAATCAACATTGTAGAAAAACTAGATAAATGCACATGTTGTAATTATATAAAATAATATGACCACAGACAGTTTCCTTCACAAATTGTGAATTTATAGTACAGTAATAATGTATATTTAATATCTTTTTATATTGATTATGATAGATTACATGACTAATTTGAGAATATTAAAAACAAGAATAATACCTCAGAAGTCATGTGATCGTTCTCTTGTCTCAATCCATCATGTGCAACCCAGTGATCGGTAAACTTTATATTTAACCGTGGACATTGATATGAATCCAACTGTTTCAAAGAAGGCCACGTTAGATGATAATTTTTAGGACAGATACTAACGATATTTGGCAACTTTGTAAGTTGAAGATACTCTAGAGCAGCAAACTCAATTATTTGAGGCTTGTTTAGATTTAAGCCTTCATAAAGAGATTGGCCAAACACGCTTCTCAATTCATCATTTCCATCAAGATCTAATTCTTTCAAATGTGCAAGGCTCTTTGCGAAAGAGATAGGCATTAAGAATTCTAGTTTCCTGCAACTGCACATTTGAAGTTTTTTCAATTTGGGAAATGCATTTTCGTAATTATGATATTCACTTCCATCAGCTATTTCCTTCATATCTTCTTTCAATACATGCTCAAGTGAATCACAATAGCTTATATGAAGCTCCTCCAGGTTTGCAAAAAGTCCTTGGGAAAGCTGACCACAATGTAAAGTTTTCAAATGCTTCACATTTGAAAGAGTTAGATGAGTCAAATTAGAGATGATTCCAACTTGACTTGAATTAGTTGCATGGCCTATCATGCATTCTATCCCATTAGAATCATGAACAGCAAGACAAGTCAACTCATTCATACTTCCTCCTATTGTTTGACACAGGTTAGGAATGATATTTTTCCAACTTCTAGGAATTCTCCTCAAAGAAAGAGTCTTTGCCCTTTTCATCATATCCTTACTTGCTGCAATTGAAATACAATTCTCAAAATCTTCAATATATAAACTTTTTTCAACAAAAGAGTGACAATACAAGGGAAATGAATGTTCAGTAGAATCTTCATCAGTATGGTCAAAATGTATGCAATAGCTCTCCAGTGCTGGTGTGGCAGTGCTAATTTTATCAAAAAATTCAGCACTATTTTTATTTTGGTCTTCCCAATCTTTTCCACCATTGCCACAAAAATATAATACTTCCAATTGTGAACATCTTCCCATTACTTCAAAAGGATTCCTTTGAATTTGGCACTCACTCAAATTTAGTAATCTCAATTCATTTAGTTGTATGATGCACTTTGGCAATTCATTGAAAGAACAATTCCCCAATATAAGAGACTCAAGTCTTTTTAACTTCCCTATGAAAGAGATATCACCTAATTGGCAACCCCATAACAACAAGCAACGTAAGATAGTTGTCATGGGGACCAAATCGGGCAATGGAAGGACTACTAAATCTGCTTTTAAATAATCAGTATTGGTGAGAATCAAAACTCTGAGCTTCTCCATATCATTGAAAAAATCACCGGGTATGGTCACAGAAGACTTTGAATTTATGGAGACACAAAGAAACTTAAGTTCAGGACAATAGAGCTTGTTGGGACATTTATCAACGTCTTCAAACCATAAATATCTTACGTCATGGTCCTTCATTATCATGACCTCTTTTGATTGTCCCATAATCAACTTACTCTCCTTTTTTGCTATCCATAGAGCTACATCACGAACCAAGTCATGCATTTTGATGTGATGAGTTCCATCTTCATCATCAACTTTTAGCAGCAAACAAGAATCTATAAGCTTCTTTATGGCTTTATTGATCACTTGAGTCCTTGCCCACCAATGTGAGGAAATATCTCCTGCTAGACCAAGGCCTACTCCCATTATGATTAATTCCTTAGTATGAATTTCATAACCTTCTGGATACACGGAACAAAATAAGAAGAGTGACTTAGCCACCTCATTCCCTAAATAATCATAGCTTAACCGAATACATCCATAAGTGCTTTTTAAACCATCTTCAATATCTATCCAACTAGGATCTCTCAATGTTTTCCATGCTGCAACCCACTCATCATAAGGCTTACCCTTCAAAGCACTGGCTATTGCTGCAATTGCAATAGGTAAACCACCACATTTTTTTGTAAATTCGTTTGCTATATCCTTGCATTTATTAGGACAATCATCGGACAACCCAGTATGCTTCTTAATAAGGGCCCACGAATCATTCTCTTTTAAACCCTCCAAGTGAAATTTTTTTTGGCAATCCATCAATTCACATACATGTAAGTTACGGGTGGTCATAAGAGTAACGCAACCCATTTGATCATTATCAGTAGGAATCCCTATGTCCTCAAAATTAAGCTTCTCCCATACGTCATCCAAAATAATCAAAAACCTTTCTCCGCTGCTCAATCTCATGGATAAGCGTCTGGCTCTCACTTGTGTGTCTTCATCCTCTTTCAATTCCAACTTTAGTGGGCTGGCAATCCCTTTCTGAATTTGTCTTACATCAATGGTATTGGACACAACCACAAAGACTACTTCGTCAAGAAATTTCTTTGCTTCTTTGCCCACTGTTTTTACAAAAGTTGTTTTCCCAGACCCGCCCATGCCATACAATCCTATAATATGAATCTTATCATCCTTGATGGCCCTCAAAAGATCCTCATAAACTACCTTTCTACTCTGAAACTCCACAAAATCTTGTGAAGAAAAATAGTCCACATCTACAAGTGTAGCAAGTCGAGAAAACTCTTCGAATTTAGCTTGAGCATTGTGATTTTTAATTTCATTTGTCTTCTTTTGAAGTTGCTTTGCCAGATTATAACGACTGATTAAGTTTGGGCAATGCTTAAGACAAGACATCTTGTTTCTTTTCTTGGTTTTCTCTTGCAGCTCCACCACTTGTGCCATCAGAAAGTCTGCTTTGGGTAACCAATTCTCAACTTTCGGAACAACCTTATGAGTATTCTTCCTAGCATCTTCAGCACGATGTAGAACCTCTTGTATTTTTGATTGCAGGTTCTCTTGTTCTGTTTCAAGCTCCTCGACATATTTGTTGAAGCGGAAAGGATAACAAGCTTGAAGTATTGCTTCATCTACTAACTTGCTCAGTATATTAGCCGTAACAGAAGCAACAACCTCCATTGCCACTGAAACCACACAATGTAGCCCAAGTGATATAATTTGAAGGTGCGATGAAAATAAATAATTGGTATATGACTTAATTAAACACAAAATTATATAGAGCAACTCTAATTACATGCAAGATCAGAACATTATTTTGAAAAAGCATTAACTGTTATTTTGTGAGGAAATTCAGCAAAAGATGAGTCTGATTATGGTTCTTCTCTAATCTAACTACAACTATGAAGCAAGGGAAAAAACGCAAGAACATAAGAAATAAGGCACGGTTGAATTTGTAAAATCCAAACTCAACTCTACCCCTTTTTCTCAGAAATTTTCGATCTCCTTATAACCTAGCAACACAAACACCACTTTCAGTTTTCTAACATCGACTTTAATTTCAGCACTAATGCACATCAAGCTCTACGTTTGTTTTTTTACCTCTAAGTTTACTTGCTGTGAAAATTACAATTGCTTAAGCTTTCATGTCAAGTTCCTTAGTTATACTGTGATCTCACAGTCACTTTACACTCATCCGCAGCCTCCTTCAACATTCAATTGTCACAGCCTCACGGTAATTAAAAAACTGTTTCTAGAAATTTCTGTTTCTCCACCTATACTCGTAGCTTCTAAATTTCCAGAAAACATTGAGAGCTTTAATCAATACCTCCACTATTAGTGAGCTAGCTGAATGTTCTATAGAAAACTGTGAACACTAATCAAGATCAAGAATCATAATATATATGTACAAGATCATGCCTAAATGAATATAAAGTAGAAGGGTCATAGACTAAGAAGTGAAACAACAAAGCCAGACCACATACTAACCTATGTATTGAGCTTTAATTTCGATCGTCTCCAAACGAAGCAACCAGATTGAATCTCACTACACCCAGAAGCCAGAAAGTAGCAGCGATATCTCTCTCTCGCACACTTTCAGTACAGAGACTTTGAGACTTGATTAAGTAAGACCTTATTCATGCCAAGTCTCTCCTTTTCACTCGAGGGTCTTCAAAGTCATGCTTTTATTAATTTAATACAAACAAATTCAACCACATATTATAAAATATTAAGAAAGTGGATAAAGCCTGTCATAATGCATCCAATTTAGTTATAGTCATTGTCCAATTACAGTTTAATAGAGCTCTTTTATTTACTTTTTAAATTCTTTTGCTTTTCCTACAGTGGTGGGTCATGCAGGGAGGAGTCCAAATCTTTGGAATCCTATGCAGTACCAAATGCGATAATAAAGATTCCCAACGACCCCTCTACCCATCTACATTATTTATATTCTTTTTTCACCTTCTCCTTCGGAAGATTCAAACAAAATCATGATTATTTGTTTGTAATGTCAGACGAAACAAAATAAAAATTATTTTTATTTATCAAAATCAATTTCATCTTGAATAACAAACTGGAATTTTCACAGCAAGCAAACATGACTTTTTAACCGAGATGCTACAAACAGTAAAAGAAAAAAAAAATCAAAGTCCTACATGATTAAAAATATATACCAAAATGCCCCATCACATTATTCTAAGGCACCTAACATATTTATTTTTTATTGAGAGAAAAATGACCTCGTCCACGTCACGAACGAGTTCAGCTTTCCATCTCGCTTCTCCGCAATAATTCTTCCACCATTTAAAAACTTCTCTCGCCTTTTTTCCTTCCCATGCGAACATTATCAAGTTGTGTTTGAAAAAGTATTTTGTTTTTCTTCTTCTTTTTTTTCATGAAATTGCTGATATATTAAAGTTTTGGTAAAAAGATATTTGTACAAAAAATTGTAAACTTTATTATATTCGGTACTTTAAACTATCTTTTGGGTTATATTTATAGGGTTAAGAGTTTTTTTCTGTCTTATTTACATGTTGGATCATTAAATTTTTAAAATGAATATATTATTTTATATTTTTATTTATTATTTGTAAATTATTATTTTCTTGAAAATTGTTTATATTAAATATAAATGAAGTTAAAAAATTATTAAATTTTATATAAATAGTTAATGAGATTTAATGTTTTTCTTAGTTTCTGTGAATAATAATAAATAAAAGATAAAATAATACTTTCATGTTAAAAATTTAATTATGAAAAAAAAATTTTAACTTTATAAATAGAACTAAAAAAACAGTAGTTTGAAATTAGGACTTAGTGGGTATTTGGATTATCATTTTAGAAGTAATTTTATGTACCACTAGGTAAACATGTGATATGAATTTTGTTTCGGTTTGCATAAAAATATTTTTCTTTAAGTGTTTTCAAAGATTTCCAATCACTAGTGAGTAATAAGTTATAAGAAAATGTCCCGTGAGTCTTTTTCTTTTCCATAATATATGAAACTGGGGATATATTAAAGTTTTAATTTAAAAGATATATGTAATTTAAAGGGAAAAAAAAAAGAAGGTAAACGCTGAATCTCTTAATCAAAGCAGGGTCGCATGTGAAAATTAGGGGGAGGAAGTATCATGTGAAAATTAGGTCGCATTTAATAAAGATTTTTATCATGTAGCACTTTGGTATTTTCTCTCTGTTTTTTATTTTTAACTGTTTGTCTGTATCGTTTTGATAAGAAAGCAAAGTAAAATACAGAGGTTGACGCAGACTAGAGATGAGAGAGATGTCGGTCCCAGAAGCAGTTAGCGGCTATCCATCTTTGGATTAAAAAATGTATGTTTCACATTTAATATTTTAAAAAATGAATATACGCATTCTTGTAGTTATTTATTTAATATTATAATAATAGCTTTAAACTATTTATTTTTTAATTTAATGATAGAGGTGAGATTCCGAGAAGAAAAAAAAAAAAAACAGAGATTCTAAGAGGATTCTTTTAACTTATTAACAACTCATTCATTATAGTTTTACGATGTGTTGATAAAATATGTCGCTAATACTTACCGTAATAGTTGTTAATTGTTATAACCTAAGTTGTTGGTGACTGTTTTTCAGTTGTCAATGTATATTTAAAAAAAAAAGGATAATTTGATAATTAAACAAATAAAATCTTTTACGATGAGATCTCTTGAGATTTCGAAATAATTTGATAATTTTAAATTTTTTTTAAAAATACTATTGTCCTTTCTTGGCGAAACACTCCCCTTATCTTCTTCTTTTAAATGGATTTTGAGCTACAAAAACTATTAACGACCACTATAATTTAACATGTGCAACGGAGCTATTGAAAACAATATTAGAAAGTACTTTGAATTTTCTCTTTATAAAAAGGGGGTGGGGGGGAAGGAATTATTTGAACTTTCAAATGGGCATGAAATTTTGGACAAGAAGGTTTATAATACGTTTGCATAAGATTTTTTGTCCTTTTCATTTCTTTAATTCTTTTGGCTTTGCCACAGTGGTGGGTCATGTATGGTGGAGCCCACATTTTGGAATCCTATGCACCTGGTTTAGGATTTCTTCGTCAGGGAGGGCTGATTTGGGTTTTGTGACTTTCCAAAGGTACTTATTTGTTTGTTTCCTAGAGGCATTTGAAAAATTAGCACAAGTACACAAGGAACTGTTTGGATAAAAACAAACTATAATTTGAACAATAGTTTTTAAAGAATAAATTTTGACGAGAATAGATTTTGTGAAAAAGTGATTCTGAGAAGTGAGAGTGTTTAGATAGTTATTATCAGAAGTACTTTTTATATATACAAATTACTAAAAAAGGCATAAGTTAATATGATAATTGCATAAAAGATAGATTTTATGATATATTTTAATTTGAAGGAATAAAATTGTTAATAATATATTTTTTATCAACATAATTAATAATACATAAGATAATATAATTAATTAAATAATTAATATGTGTATATATGTTTATAAGATATAAAATTAAATATGTTTATACAAAATAATTGAGGGGTGTTAAAGTCATATTATTGTTGAGATTTACTCTCTGACTCTCTCGTATTGCGTCTAAAATAATGAGAAAGAGATAAATAATTGGGAAGGGTATATTTGTTTGGGCAAAAAAAAAAGAAAAAAACAACAAGACACATATCTCATAGGCTCTCACACTCTTTCTTTTTCTCCCAAAAGCAGAAAATTTTTGCTTCTACCAAAACCATGGTTTTGGTTTTTTTTTTTTAATGGTGTTTGGGTGATTTTTTTCCCAAACCATAGTTTGGGTCATCACCCAAACACCCCCTAAATATAAAATTTAGGAAAAATATATATTTGCAAGTGCTTTTAGTTTTATTCCATTTTTAATTTTAATTAGGTCCCTTTTTTATTGGTCCTTATTTTTTGAAAAAATCCTAATAAAATAATTATTGAATTTGCAAAACTTCAAATAATTATTTGAACTTATAAAATTTCAACTTAGTCGAAATGACTAAATTGAGATTTTGAAATGTTGAAAAATTTAAATTATTACCCTTTAACTTTTATTTTTTGTAAGAGGTTCAAGCTAGCGGGAACTTTAGTGGCCAGCAACTATTTTTTTTGTGAATTTTATGACTTTGGTAATATGATTGGCAAGTTTTTTAATACTATTAACAAGTTTGGTATGACAGTTAATAACAAATTTTTCAGAAAATTCAAAAAGTGATATTTTTATAATTTTAGTAATACAGTTAATAAGTTTTGTAATGATATTAAGTTTGGTATAGCAGTTAACAATTCTAATAACAAGTCATGTAATAATATTAACAATTCTCATAACCATAATGACAGCCTAATAAATAAATAAAATTTCATGTACAGGAGCTAATTATACTAAAAACATCAACCTTCACATGAAAAAATAATAATAATAATTTGGCATAATCACATCA